CGACGCGCTCGATCGCCTCGCAGAGGTTGAGAGACGTGCCTCCGCCCAGAGCGGAGAGGCAGTCGGGGGAAAGAAGCCCGAGCCCACGCGGCGCCCGCACGACACAGAGCCGTGCGAGAACGTCGCACTCGGGGGCGGAGCAACGCATGTGGAGCGTCGCCCGTACGACCCCAACCAGGTCGGCGTTCTCCGGGAACGCCTAATAGGACAACCTCGGCAATTCGGTATCTCGTTGGCGCGGGGTAGTAAAGTAGGTGTCGAGTCTGGGGTGGATAGACTACAGTTCAGGGCTATTGGTGTAAACGGGTCTCCCCCACCCGCTGCCCCCCATCAGAAGAGGGTCTTAACCGACTAGCTAAAAGGGGATCCGAGGTCGGGGAGTTGTGTGGGTTTCAGGTGTGTGCTGTTGGCAAAGCAAGAGGGATGGCACTTGGAGCACTTGGAGTGCAGTGATCTGTGATCTGTAAGGGTCCGCCCGCAGGCGCATTTTGTATACCGAGGCGGTGCCCGGTGCCGAACCTGTCCGCTGTCTACGAGGTGGCCACTGTCCGCGGCGGCCCTAACACTACAGATAATTTTTCTTTTTTCTCGCTCCGGATGTAATGGCTACCACCGCCGTCTCGAGCATCACAACTCCGCGCCTCCTCCTCCGACCATTCGCACGCTCTGACACTGCCGCGATTGCCAGCCACTGCGGTGACCTCCGCGTCGCGCGCATGTGCCGTGTGGTGCCTCACCCGTACGGCATCGCCGAGGCGGAGTTCTTCGTGGACCAGGTCTGCTCGCGCGCTGACGGGAGGATTTACGCGATCGTGCTCGGCGGCCACGTTGTCGGCTGTGTCGGCCTCGAGTCCATCAGCGGCGAGAGCGCGACGCTGGGCTACTGGTCGCTCGCTTCTCTCGCGGCCCGTCGAGGCCGAGAGACGTCTCATGCTCTCGCCCCGCTCGCATAGGCTCGGCGCCGAAACTTGGGGACTGGGCGTGGCGACGGAGGCGGCGGGCGCGCTGATCGACCATGCCTTTGGTGGGCTGCTGGACGGCCTCGAGCGCATCGAGAGCGGCTACTGGTCGGAGAACGTCGGGTCGGCCAAGGTGCAGTCAAAGCTCGGCTTCAGCCTGCTTGGGCGCGGCCCGCTGCTCTGCCTCGCGCGCGGCTGCGAGCTCGAGCAGCA